CTGCTATATTAAAGAGTAAAATGATACTTTGGAATTGTTTTCAGGGATTTTAGCACATCATTTTTATGTGTGCTCAGTGATTTAATAATGATAAATTATATAAATCTACATTAATAGAAATCTTTCATCACCTTCCAAGGTTTCCAGCTTTCCAAAAAAAAGAGGGAGGAAGAGAATAGTTGATCATATCAGACTAGGTTGCGAGGACAAAACCCTTTTACATAATGACAATGAATGATGAAGATTATAATGACTATAATGAGATAAAATAATGACATATTATAATGATGATATGAGCCACTTTATAAACATTAACTTTAATCAGCTAGTTACTTCAGTTAACATTATCTTTAATCCTCATAACAACCCTATGAGTTGGTGATATCTCCATTTTTTTTTTGCGGTACCCGGGCCTCTCACCGCTGTGGCCTCTCCCGTTGCGGAGCACAGGCTCCGGACGCGCAGGCTCAGCGGCCATGGCTCACGGGCCCAGCCGCTCCGCGGCATGTGGGATCTTCCCGGACCGGGGCACGAACCCGTGTCCCCTGCATCGGCAGGCAGACTCTCAGCCACTGCGCCACCAGGGAAGCCCTCTCCATTTTTATAGGTGAGGTAAATGAGACTCAAGAGAGCTTACATGAACCTCTTTTGGGGCTTTTGCACAAATCTATTAGGTGTTAGAGCTGGAATTTGAATCCAGCATATGGTCTTTTCACTATGCTATTCTGCCTCTATAATAGTAAAAGTGAATCTATCTTTTTGACAAAGATATTCATTTAGGGTGCAAACAACTACTTTTTATGTAAAAACTAAAGACAATTTCACAAATGTTACTTCATTTCATCCCGTAATGTAATAAGCTGTGATGCTCATTCTTTTCATTTTGTAAATGGAGCAAAAGTGCAGTTGAGGAAGTTACCTAAGGTTTAAAAAATCTTATCCAGGAATTAGGTTTTCTCACTCTCAATGCTGTATCTACTTTGACTTTAACTTTCATTAGCATTTGGGGGTTATTATAAAAGAAATGAGAAACATCAATAGTATTTATAGTCCCAAGATCTAATCATTTTAATGTAATTGGTAATCTTGGTTGGATGAGTTCAGAAGGTCATAAATTTGTGAAAAATATTATTAAAGATTTAAAAGTTTTTGTCTAGGTACATTTATTATTCTCTCTTTATACAATGTTTTGTAAATGATTCCAAAGAGCTTTTCTTTATTTATTTACTTTAATTAATTTATTTTAGTTTTCGCTGCACTGGGTCTTTGTTGCTGCACTTGGGCTTTTCTCTAGTTGAGGCGAGTGGGGGCTACTCTTTGCTGCGGTGCATGGGCCTCTCACTGTGGTGGCCTCCCCTGTTGGGGAGCACCGGATCTAGGTGTGCGAGCTGTAGAGTGAAGGCTCAGCAGTTGTGGCACATGGACCTAGTTGTTCTGCGGCATGTGGGATCTTCCCAGACCAGGGCTTGAACTTGCATCCCCTGCATTGGCAGGCGGATTCTTAACCACTGCACCACCAGGGAAGCCCAGAGAGCTTTTATTTTTTACTGTGAGGTTTCCATGGTGTTTAAAAATTTATTTTACTTAAGGATGCTTTAAATTTTAGAAGTAACAAATGCTCACTCTAAAAATAACAAAGAAAAAAACAATCAAACAATACAGAGGTTTCTAAAAAAAAAAAAAAAAAAAAATGATACTCTCCCAATCTGACCTCCTGAGAAAACAACTATATCACTGAGTCAGGTATCCATCTATACCTGATTGAAATTTATTAAAGCTTCTTGAACCAATGTAATCTGTTGCTTTATTCTGAATATTTGTAAGACATGAAAATTAGTCAATGATTCTAATTAAAATAAAAAATGAACTCTAAAACATATATATATTTTTTTTTTTTGTGGTACGCGGGCCTCTCACCGCTGTAGCCTCTCCCGTTGTGGAGCACAGGGTCCGGACACGCAGGCTCAGCGGCCAGGGCTCAAGGCCCAGCCGCTCTGCGGCACGTGGGATCTTCCCGGACCGGGGCACGAACCCGTGTCCCCTGCATCGGCAGGCAGACTCTCAACCACTGCGCTACCAGGGAAGCCCTAAAACATAATCTTATCTTTACATAGCACTTTATGTTTTACAAAGTGCTTTTATACTAGTTCATTTAATCCTTGAAACAATCTTATGAAGATTGTATCCCCAGTTTAGAGACAGGAAACCAAGACTCCGAGAGGTTATCATATTTTATCATATCTAAGATAACAATGAATATAAGGCATCCTGCCATTTTAGATGCTCCCAAGGAAAAAAAAAAAATTCTGCCAATTAATTGCGATATAATGACTTAACTATACCCCTGTGAGACTTATAGGACTTCATAGTAGAAGGCCTAGGTTAGGGTCCTGGCATTGTCCTTTCCAAGCATGTGACTTAAGTAAATTAAGTTCTCTGAGCCTTAATCTTTTCAAATCTTTTAAATTAGACATCATAATGCCTATCTCACAGGGTTGTGTGAGAACATATTGATGTAAAATGGTACTTTTAAACTGTAAAACTCATAAATTTAAAAAAATCTTCTATATATTTGGTATTATTATTTTAAAATATATTATTTGTAATAGTAATATTAATATTCTGTTGTTGAAGGCAGGAACTTCTGGATCTAAATTGAACTATTTTATCATATTAAATAATCATTAAAGCTGTAGCTGCACACAAGTGCTACTGCTGCTGTCTTTCTTGAGATGAGTTAATACTTTGTCCTCATATGAACTCTGGAGAACACCTATTCCATTAACCTAAAAGAACGCATTCAGTTTGAGTGAGGATATTTTCAGGTCTTGAGGGAAAATATTTCTTTCTGCCACCATTTACATTTTGCTTGTCCAGTTATAGGATAGAAACATGAACTATACTTTAGACATCCTATTATTATAGTGAGTTCTAACTGTGCAAGGAATTAGTTTCATTTTTTGGAAGAGAGCAAATTCACTACACTTTACCATCTATGCCTCTGTAATTTCTGAAGCATTCCTTGTATTTTTTCTGCTTTTGTGTTGGAAATCATTTTATGTTATAGTCTGTTCACCATGTTAGTACTAAGGTATATAGCCTTTTACTTAATTAAATCCTAGATATTGTGCATTCTGCAACCCCCTTGACAACTATATTCCTGCTTTGTGTGAGAAATTAGGTCTTGCTTGTCTAGCCATGCCTTCATACCTTACGGCTGCTGGCAGTATATGTGATTAAAGTATATATCTGAAATACTGTCCTGTAAATGATCTTCTATGAAAACACATACGATGTGGTAGCTCTGGGATTGACTCACCCTGGATATCTGTTTGTGTATACTAAATACTGGAAACATGGTGGCTTCCTGATTTTTATTACTGACAAACTGTATATGTTTGCTTCCTGTGTACCAATAGAGAATAGCAGATGGTTACTACAGATTTGGTATTATTAAATCATTTCAACACTTCAATTCTCAGTAACTTGTTTAATGAAAAAGGCAAATACCCGACACTTAATTAATGTGCAGAAGGGGCAGTAGGGAAATATGAGGTAGTCTGAGATCCAAGATGATGACAGGCAATTGCTTTGTGCTTGTGGACTTTTGGTTACTCATTGACCCGATATGCAATGAATATCAAGTTTAAACATTAATACTGAATTTCAAGTGTTCCAAAAAATTATACATGCTGACCAACTTCTCTTTTTAAAAATAAACATTTGTTCCTTGCTACTCCAAACCTAGCCCATGCTACTACCATCTCCTATGTAAATCATGTAATAGCCAACTAGTCTTCCTGCTTTCTTCACTCTTCGCTACTCCTACAGTCCAGTTTCAAAAAACTGCCTGAATGATCTTTTAAAATGTAGACCAGATCGATCATGTTATTCCTTCTGCTTAAAACCATTAATGGCTTCTATAATACTCAAAATACAATCCAAACTCCTTCCTGTGGTGTTCAAAGCCCTATACGATCTGCCTGCTTTCTAAATCTCCACCCTAACCTCCTGCTACTCTCCTGCTTGCTCATATGTATCAGATACCCAGGTTTTTTTTCTGTCCCTCAAATATGTCAAGATCGCTCCTATCTCAAGGCTTTTAGTGTTGGCCTAAAAAACTCTTTCCATATATGTTTCCTCCTGGCTGGATCTTGGTTCAAATGTCACCTCTTCAAAAAAGGGGGAGTAGCATCCCCACTTACTCACGTTCCCTTACACATCATCTGGCTTATTATATGCCTCACAGTCATCACTGTCTGGAATTGTCATGTACTTATTTGCTAACTTGTTTGTCCATCTCTGCCCTTACAATTTATTTAAGCAGCTTGATAGCAAGGATTTTGTTTATGCTGTTATCAAAGGGTCTACGTCAGGGTCTGGCACATTGTAGATACTCAATAAATAATTCATGAAAGAACGAAGTAATGAAACTAAGTGAATCTAAATGATTACCTTTTCTTAAGTGATATATTTTTCCCTCACTTTTTTTTTTTTTTGGAAATAAAATTGTGCCAGGAAAGAAATTACTTATTTTTCTTGAGGCTAATAATAATTTGCCCACTTAAAACAAAATTGAATAACTCAAGTATAGTTTATTTTCCAGAAACGACCCAAGATTAAATTCGATATATTTTCTTAATGGAACATTATAGCAGTAACCTACTTTCAATTTGCAACAATATAAGAGAATATGTGAGTTTGCCATTTTCCTTGAATGGTAAAACACCACAAATATTTACAGTGGTTATTATCTGGCTCTGAATAACCAAGTCACTAGAGAATAGGTCTGTCTAAAAAAACAGGTGAAACTGTCTCTTAAATGGCATCAGATCACATAACCTATTCCCTATGCGTGAAACATTTTCCCCAATTCTAGGAGAAGAAAGATATATAAATAATATGATTACTTTATGGGAAGTAAATACCATAATGCCCATTCTAAATAGTATAGCTGACTTCCAAAGATATATATATACATATACACACACATGGCTATACACACATGGTATATATATATACACACATGGTATATATATATATATATATATATATACATGATAAATTCATGTAGGTTAATAAAAATATGCTTTGAAGGAAATAAGGAAGGCAAAGATGAGAGTCTGAGACCTCGAATAAGTACAATGAGAAGATGCTATATCAAGTGTGAGCTTTGGATCCAAAAGAAAAATTGTGAAGGCCTTTAAATATTGCAGTACTGCATTTCCCCTTTTTCTCAAAGAGCCTTTTTCCATATGCCTAAATAACTTCTAATTAGCATCAGAATGTAAAGACAAAAAGCAGCTATTACTGACATTCTAATTTTAAAAGTTAAAATATTGCTAATTTCAGACAGGAATATCTAAATTGAGACAGGAGTCTTACATAGACAAATATGTGTAATCGGATGGTTGTTGCTTGGTAGGGGAAAAGTTCATCTTTATTTTCAATGGATTGAGTAAAAGCTATATAATTATTCAACCAATATGTAACAGTTGAACATCCATACTTCTGCTTTTATAAGAAATGCCACAATGAAAATACTTGTATATACATTTTTAAGCACATCACTGATTATTTTCTTTGCAAAAATACTAACAGGTGGGATTATCAGGTTAAAATATTTGACCATTAAAATTTTCTTTTAACTTTCAAAAACACTTTTCAAATAGACATTTTAAAAGCTCTTGATATATACTGCAAAACTGATTCCCAAGAATGTTGTGTCAAGTTATATTCCCACCTGTAGTGATGAGAACACTTATTTTCAAATTTAATTGGTGGCAGGCCCAGATGGCTCCTAAACTGAAGGGATTTTTATTTTTGTTTAATGCCTTATATGTGAGTAAGTTGAGAAAAGAAAGTGTATTTTATGCTGGAAGGTCCCTGCTCCTTGCTTCCTTCGCTCTGACGTCATTTGGGCCCTCGTGGGTGTTTGAACTTTTGCTCCAGCTGCTCACGTCGATCCTGTGTATCTCAGAAGCTGAAGACCCCAGTTATTATTATAGTTTTACCCTCTGTTTTTGGTGCAGGGAGGCGTTCCTTTCTCGGTTTTTATCTTTTGAACACACACAAAATTTTAAACGTCATTTCTAAGTGTAGGAACAGAATGGCATGAGATCACCCTACCATCTTGATCCTGAAGTCTATTCTGAACCTTGACAGCTATCTCCTATTTTCTTGAAAGTGGACTTTTTCATAATCATATATTTCTATGTATACATATATATCTATTTGTTTATAAGAGCTTGAATGAACTGTGTGTGTGTGTGTTATATGTTTCTCTTTATACAAGCCTTGAATGTAGACAGCTCTCTACTCAGAATTGGTTTTTGACCCTTGCAAGAATATGTGGATCCCTGGCTGCCCTGACACTCAACCAAGTTGTTGATGAGGGTATGATCTAAAGCTCAGGCTGGAGGCTGGCCCATGTGCATTGCATTGCAAGTATAAGGACAATGCATCAGTCTGAGGGGAGTGAGTCGTGAGCCAGGACCAGAGGCGGCTGTGCAGAGCAATGTGGCCTGTGGTACAGAAGCTGCTGTGCCAGTTTCCCTTTATATTTATTTCTTTACATACATTTCTTGTATGCCCCAATGTGTGTCAGGTCTAAAGTGTGTCTAGGCTGACTAAAGGACCAAGCCCCAGATGGCCTTCTGCTTGACACAGAAACTGTGTGGACCCTGAGGATTTCAACAAATGACACTGACTCACCAAAATAATAGAGTAAAAAGAGTCCATCTACCCCCTAGCCAGTCTTTGACTTTATTCATTACCCCTTCAAATTAGAATGCATTAAGGGGTGCCCTCCTGTCAGGGTTCCCTCCAGTTATTCCCATAATTGCTATTGTTGTTTAGCAGAGGACCTTCATGCTTCTCTTCTATGTGGTCCTACCTGCCCTATGTTGAAAAGTTTTGGGGATTTGCCTGTAACTGCTAGTGCTTTTGAAGACTTCCCCCCTATTTTTATATTCCATTGATCATTTCCATGGGAAGGAAGGTAGAAGCCTGTGTTTACTCTGTCGATTTACCAGGGAGTCAATAAGTTCTCTTTTTATAAAAAACCTCCTATTGGATATCCAGCCAGATATTGTTTTTTTTTTTTTTTTCAGATATTGTTTTAATATGCATTTTTTAAAAATAGAACTGCCTCTTCCTGCTTTCATTACAGAATTTTGTTAATCTAGATGTCAATCAAATGAAAATTACACTTTAAAACATGTAGTTATTTCAAATAAAGATGACACTAAAGCATTGCAATACTGACCATGTAAATATTGATGGAGATCAATATAAGGGCCTCCAGGGGTTCCAGTACTGATTGAAAATGCCTATTATGTCTACATACTGTTTCACTGAAGGTAATGTAACAGAGCAGATCTAAGTTTCCTTATAGTTAGCAATAAACAACTGAAAGATAAGCTGCTGATTCAGACATTTAACCGCAGTTTCCTGTGATGATTACATTCTAACTCAAAATCAATAATAGCAATAAATGTTATATATTAAGAAAAGGTCTCATCTATCACATTTTCAAATGTATCAAAGTTAAACAAAGCTTTAGAAAATAATTATATAATGCTTACCATAGAGAAAAAGTATTCTTTAAATTAATTACTATAGATAGTAATGTGGTACCAGCAGCAGTAACAGCCATTTATAGAACATCTTATACTTTAAGGTACTTTACATGTATCTCATTTAATTCTCCAATCCTGCCACTTCAGATATTATAATCTCTACCTTTTATATGAGGAAACAGGCCCAGAGGTTAAGTAATTTGCCTAATGAAGTTGGATGACCAATTGAGGTGCTCTCTGGGGGACCTCCAGGGAACATCAGAGATTCTGAGGCACATTGTTTACGTGGATTCAAAGTGCTGCTTGACTCTTGGCTGCCTATGTCATTCATATACTTCTCCACTGCTAGAGGTATTCTTGTGAGAGATGGATGGCCATGTTTGCAATGCTGTAGAAAGCATTCGTGTTCCCTGTAATTTTACATCAGGGGTTCTTAAGTTGGGATTCATAAACACTCTGAAAATGCATGAAAAAAATGTGCTTAATTGCATATTTCTGGGAAGAGGACTTTCATCAGATTTCCATGGAGTCCATGATCCAAAAATGGTTCACAATTGTCCTCTAGATATTCCTTAGTGACTGGTTTTAACCTATAAGACCTAAGAAATCTTAATTTCATTTCTGAGGAAGTTCCATAGTATAACATCCTGGAGTATACTTAAATTAACAAGAAAGTGGAGGCAATTACCCAAATGAAAATTTCAAATTGAAACTTGAAATAATCGGATAGCCATGGCAAAGGAAATGAGGTGGAGGCTGTGGCTGAATTATCTACCACATGATAGCAATTTTCTCCTTTTCATTACAGATGGAAAAAGCTACTGCTTAAAGAGAAAGAAAAATGAGCTGAGCTTATCTGAATTATCACACTGAAAAAGATATGTCACATATAATTACAAAAGTGCTGGGAAATATGCAAACATTAGCAATTGTATTTCTAAATAGGAAGACAACTTAGAAACAATTTGCTAGTTTTAAGCAGCGGAGTGGGTATAATCTTATGACAGATAAAAAGTGAAGATGTAATTTTCCACTTTTCTTCCAAAGAAGTTCTGCTGAACTTCAAAAATTTTCTTTGAATAATCATGTTTGACAAATATAAAGGTTAATGCTAGCAAGGTAATTAAAATTAATGATTGCAATGTCCACTGGGCTATGTCTGTGCAGGTGTTTTCCTCCACTGTTCCCATCCTAGCTTAAAAATGTCTGATATATAAAATTCTGATCTTACACATAATACATTAGTAGTGGCTATTTTCATCCCTCCTAAAAAATAGGAGCAATGTGGCCTGTGGTGGTTACTGAGAACACGGAGGTTACTGAGAACACGGCTGACTCTGGGGGTGTCCAGTGGTTACTGAGAACACGGCTGTCTAAATAACTTCTAACTAGCATCAGAATGTAAAGACTAAAAGCAGCTATTACTGACATTCTAATTTTAAAAGTTAAAATATTGCTAATTTCAGACAGGAATATCTAAATTGAGACAGGAGTCTTACATAGACAAATATGTAAGGAGGTTACTGAGAACACGGCTGACTCTGGGGGTGTCCAGTGACAGATCATGCAGTCCCTTGAGAGAGGTATTCTCTTAGCTCTGAAGAGTAGGGAACTCAGTTCAGCTGCTCTACAGCCCTTTAATTCGTTACCCTGCTGACTGCCCCAGGGTTTGTTCCTAGCTTTCCCTGCTTGTGATCTTGAGGGTTTTTCATGGTTCTACTTAACTCACTGTCTTTCACCTTTATTGTGTTCTGGGGTCTCTTGCACAGCTGGGCTGTATCTTCAATCTTATTCCATCTGTTGTATATTATTAAAAATTTCCTCAATGTTGAGTCCAACCTTCTAGGTTTCCAGTGCTGTTGTGGATTTATTTTTATATTTATTCTTCCATTTCAGAGAGACTTTAGATGGAAGTAGAGGTAAAAAAAAAAAAAAGGTCTTAATCAGCTATCTTCTGTTGGAAGCCATTTTGAGCACTTTAAATAAAGCAAGTATTCTCCCCCTACAATTGGTTGCATTAAGATTTTTATCGATAAGCTATCAATTTTACTGTAGGCAAACCAATGCATTTAACAAGATTAAACTATCAAACTTGAAATTTTCTTCTTTTGTTTTGCTAAATAAGTTATTTTTAAGCACATGAAAAAAATGCAGAAAACTTACAATCCATATCAAGTATGGCTCGGACAGATTTAACAAGTTCCTTAGATTCAAGCGCCAGCGTTGCTGGGATGTTACGTCCACTCCTTCCCAGTGGTGTGAGGGACGTCTGGGAAGCTAACATAGCTCTTCTTTCACTATGGAAGCAATAAAATAAAGCTAAACTTATTACACAATGAATAATATCTATCTTTGCTAAGTCTGAATTCTTCATAGTTATGAAATTGTACAAAAAATTTTGATTTCTGGGAACATTGTATTCTTGTAGCCATAATCGAAATAATTCCCACAAAATAATATTTCTGTTTTCAATTCTTTATTATATAATAAATAGGCATATTTAAAAAATTAGGTTTACCTTATACATAAGGAGGAAGGGATAGAAGGATAGCTTCCTCCTAAATCATTTGTTTGGCTTATTTTGTGAGTGCTTGTGTTATGCTAACATGATTTGGCCTTTTATTTAGTTTTGTAAACACTTAAATTAAGCACTTAAACATAAATTTATTAAAGAGACATTTACTACTACTTCTAGTAATATTAAATATAAATTCAATATGTATATTTGCTCCTGAAATTCTCTCTTAAACTCTTCCATTTGCTATCCCTAAATCTAAAAAAGCCTAGAGCATTTATACCACTTTTAAAAAATGCGAAAGTCACCTGAAATGAATGCATTCTGATACAATTAAAATGCAAGGTTTTACTTTTACCATTATGCTGAAACTTTTACTTGAAAAGAGACAATTTTAGACTGATGACAAAGCCATCATTACTTATAATGCATCTTCCTAAGCATGATAGTATTAATTCACAAGGAGAAACTAAAGCATCAATTCTCAAATTCAAATACAGAGCCTTTATTCCGTGTAGAATACCAAGGCCAACATCCATTACAGATGATATAGTATATTAAAAAGACTGAGCCAAATTTTACTAGTGTTTAACTTTCCAAGATGTAGCAAAAAGTTGCTTAATGTTGCTTTTTTTTTTTAAAGTTGATGTATAGTTGATTTACAATGTTGTATTACTTTCAGGTGTACAGCAAAGTGATTCAGTTACATATATTAATGTTGCTTTTTAAAGTTACTTTTGTTCTGTGAACCTGCAAGGGCAGGCTCTGGCTTTTAAATAGTCATTTTTAATACCAAAGCTTTTGAATTATTATTCAAGGTCACAATGAAACCTTGGGTGGTGGGAGTTTGGGACATGTCTAACCCATACAAGCGGAATCTGACTGCTGAGTATTTTAACATCATACTGAAAATAATCATCATGGTATTCACATAATTATTTTACATCATAAGCAGCATAGATAACAATAAAAACATCAGATTTCACCTGAAGAAATAAAGTATTACATTAAAATGAGTTTAAAGGTGTACTACCATATGTACTACCATGTACTACGATATTTTTCTAAATTCAAAAATGCTATGTGGAAACTTAAAATATAATGAATCATCTTCATTTATTGAACTGCTGTTTTCACAGAAAAGGGTGGAGTTTTCCTATGTTTCTGCAAGCATATGTTGCTAGAAGTAGAACTACATTGCTAGTGGTAGTCTTTATAAAAGGAAAAAAATTGCTTTGACTGTCTTAAGACTTTAAGAGATTTTAGTATTTTAGCACAAGTACCAGATGAAGAATGTAATCAGTGGCCATACTCTGCAGAAAGCACTTAAATTTTCTTACCTTAAATTTGACAAAGGAAGAGAATTATCACAAAATACTTCTTGAATAGCCTAGAGACAAACAAGAGAGTGAAGGTGATAATGTAACTTTGATAGCTTTTTAAAATGTTTTCTCTTGCTTAAATAATATTTATAACCCCCTCCACCCATATGATTAAAAAGGTGTTATATAGGGGAAAAAATCAATTACATTAACATACAATTCTACTCAGAATTATAATACACAGAGAAACATTTCTTTATAGGGTAGTTATCAACTAATGTTTACATAGTATCAAAAGTTAAGAAAGTGTTCATTAAAACGTAGTATATATTTGGGATCATATTACCCTGTCTCAATTATTTCTCTTAATCTGTATGTTAGCTGGTCTTTTCATTATCTAAGCAATTTAAAATCTGACTGTAAGTCACCATTGCTGTTTTGAGCCCAGAGAATGTTTCACTAGCCATCAAACGCCATGACATTTACCTGTATGTCAGTTGTCTATACATTTCTTAAAAATGGACATAAAGTGATGTAACAGGAAAATTTACCTCTACAAAATGAAGAAGCTTTTCAGTGGATGCCTCAAAAGTTTTTCGAGCCATTTCTGATTTTCGCAATTGGCAGTCAAGTACTGTGATTCGCTTTCTTAACTCCTGAACACTTTCCTGGACAGAGATATCAAAAGGAACATATTATACATTTCTTCAATTTTATACTAGTGGCTCCTATTTTCATTTTTTATTAACTAATATCCAACATTACTATATCATTTATTTTCTCTCTTCTTGTACATATCTTCTTGTTTTGGGGGGTACTTAACTAATTGCATATTTTTAAAAGTTAAACTGCACAGGAATGCTGCAAACTTTTTAAGATAAGCTACAAATAACTTTTATTTTAATAAAAGTTGTATAATAATACATTTATTATATATGTTATATATAATACACTTTAATTAGTTCATATTATATTCTTATATTAAAATACATTTTAATTAGTTTATGGCATTTCTTGACAACATGGTTACCAGAGGCTGACGGAAACCCCTATTAGTGTGGCACAATCCAACATTCTGAAGATATACATAAATTTTTTTTTTTTTTTTGCGGTACGCAGGCCTCTCACTGTTGTGGCCTCTCCCATTGCAGAGCACAGGCTCCGGATGCGCAGGCTCAGCGGCCATGGCTCACGGGCCCAGCCGCTCCGCGGCATGTGGGATCTTCCCGGACCGGGGCACGAACCCGCATCCCATGCATCGGCAGGCGGACTCTCAAGCACTGCGCCACCAGGGAAGCCCTATACATAAATATTTAATGTAATATGACCCAATGTAAAGCTGAGCTGACGGGGAAGTAAAAGAATTCCAGGAAAAGTGAAGGAATTTCATGAAGATAAGCAATAGCAATGCTGAGTGAACCCACTGAAGTTAGAGTACACTGTAGCACAATTTGATCTCAGGGTATTTACTGATCCTTGGAGGCCTATAGTTTGGGGTTTCATCAGGCACAAATGGCAAACAGGAGAACTTTAATGGGTGAATTAGGGAGAAACAAAACTTTTGATTTTGCCTCTGGTGAATGGTTAAAAAAGTGTCCCCCGAATAATTGCCAACCACAGTCCCCCAACTCATGCAGGTTCCAGGTCAAATTTATATTACCTGTGTGGCCCGTACATTCATAAGCTGAAAATTTAGTTTAAATTGGTCCCTGGCTGGTAAAAGCAAACAAAAAATTTCTCTAGTGGGGTTATTTGTTAAACTCAGACATCAAAGAATGCCTACATTTAATGTATCAAAAGAACATGATCTCAGCAAATAAGCTACTATGGATGAAAAGTCAGCTGAAGGAAACAAATTATAGGATCAAACCTATAGAGATAGCAGCTACTGAAGTGATCAGATACAGAATATAAAGTTATGTTTAATATGTTTTAAAAATTAAGAGTTTAAAGCATAATAAAGAAACAAGAAACTATCAAAATAGATCCAGGTGACACAAAAAATAGAACTGAAAAGTAAAAATACAGGGAGGGGGGGAGGGAGATGCAGGAGGGAGGGGATATGGGGATATATGTATATGTATAGCTGATTCACTTTGTTATACAGCAGCAACTAACACAACAATGTAAAGCAATTATACTCCAATAAAGATGTTAAAAAAAAAGCAGTAATAATTAGAAACTCAATTTATTCATTTACTATCCAATTAGATACAGATGAAAAGAGAATGGGTGAACTGGAAGGCAGAGGTAAAGAAACTTCTCATAATAGAGCATAAAAATAAAAATGGAAAATATGAAAAGAGAAAAAATAACCGGAAGAAGATCTAGCATACATCCAATCTGAATTACATAAGACAGACTAGAAATAATGAAAGAGGAATAGGTCAGGATAAAAGCTTAGGGTTTTTCAGAAATGGTGAAAGACACTGTTCCTCAGATCAGGAACCTCATTCCATGAATCTCAAGCAATATAAATAAAAATAAGTGAACACATGACTGATCATAGTCAAACTGCTGAACACTAAAGATAAAATCATCTAAAAAGAAACAACAGATAGCAAACAAATGACAGACTGACATCTGATATCACAACCATGGAATAAAAACACTGAAAGAAATTCAGTGCCAATTTAACAATCTAAATGTAGCAAAAATATATTTCAAGAACAAGAGTCAAAAAAGAAGTTTCCAGACAAACAAAAATAGAGTTTATTACCAATAGATACTCACTATTTCTAAAAGATGAACTTCTAAAAGATGTACTTCAGGAAAAAAGAAAGTAATTCTAGCAAGGATGTCAAATGAAAGGAAGAATGTTGAACAAAGAAAATGATAAACATGGAGGTCTATCTAAATGAAGGTTGACTGCACAAAATAAACTGTAATAGTATCTAATTTATGATGTTAAAAGTCAAGAAAGAACTAAAATACTTAGTTAATAGAAATTAAGCAGAAAGGGATGATTGGATTTATGTTTTAAAGTCCTTACAATATTTAGAAGAAGTGGAAAGCCAGTGATTAGTTTTATAATTTAAGTTAAAATAGATTGTTAACATTTCTAATATAATCTTTAAAAATTAGAAACCAAGTGTCTAACTTCTAAACTAGCAGAGTAAACTAAATGAAATGGGAGTAGGGGAACACAGGAGAAGTCTGATCCAATCTAAAAAAGAAAAAAAAAAAGGGAGGCAAGAAATGACAAACAACTAGAAAACATGGGACAAATAAAATGCACAAAATAAAAGGGTAGAAATGAAGCCAAGTGCATTTGCGAATAAGAATGTAAATGGAAAGACCTTTCCAATTAAAGATCAAAAATCAGTAAAATGGGGAAAAAAATCCAACTACCAGTTGTTTATCATAGACACAATTAAAATATAAGGACACTGAAAAGTTGAAAGTAAAAGGATGGAAAAAATACATAGGTAGATGCCAAAAGAAAGCTGGTATAACTATTTTAATATCAATCAAAAATAAGCATTAAGGGGGAAAGAAGATTGAAGAGTCACAACATTTTCGTAAAAGGATGATAACATAATTCTAAGCTTGTATGCAATTAAAAACATTACTTCAAATATATACAGAAAATTTTAAAAAGTAATCACAAGGGAAATTTTAACCTATTCCCTGACAAAGAAATTAATATGACTAGAGAAGAATTGAACCCCACAATTAATGATCCTGATCTGGTGGACTATATAAAACAACACATCAAATGATTGCAGAATTCTTTTCAAGCTCTCTTTGAATATTTGTAAATATTGGTCAGACAGTAAGCCATGAAGCAACCATCAATGAATTCTGGAGTTATCTATAGACTAGATTCTCTGGCCACATGCAATTAACCTTTCTGTTCCTCAATGATGTTTATGAATCAAGACACAATCATAAATATGTAAATTTCCCCCAAATTATATATTTAATGCATTTTCAGTAAAAATGGCAATCGTATTAATTTCTTTTGATGGAATTTATAATCTGAGTCTAAAATACATATAAAAGATCAAAGGGTTATATAGCCAACACACTTTTAAAGAAAAAGAACTAGACAGGTTGATCGGATCAAGATTTAGAGTAAAAGAGACTTTTGAATGAGCGGTGCTGGTATAGTTGGTCATTCACTTAGGATAAAAAAGAAAGAATGAAATGAATCCCCACCTTATACAATGACATAAAACCATGACAGAAGGATCAAAGTTTTAAAACTTTTAAAGACAAATATAAAAATATCTTTGGGAATGGAAGGACTTCTGGAAAGACACATGAGAGAAAAGACTGAAAAGTTTGATTACTTGAAAATAACACCTGTTCATTTCACCAGAGGGTGAAAAGGTAAGCTATAAATTCCAGAGAGGATTTTTACAACATAAAATATAAGATAGGTTAGTAACCAGAACATACAAACAATCACTACATGTGAATATAAAAAAGACAAATAACCCAGTGGAAAATGGTTAAAAGATATGAAGAAGCATTTCACATAGAAACACAAATGCCTAATAAGTGCATAAATATTAACTCAACTGACTATCTGGGACAAGGGGCAAAGCCCTGGTTTATTGCATTTGGGGGTGTAAATAACCCCACCATGGCTGATTTCAAGCTAACAACATGATGTGTTGAACATGCAGTTAAGAAGAAATGTACACAGCCAGCTCTCATAAACTAGTACCAGCTGGTCCCAGCACATCAGTAGCTCAAAATCATTAGAGAAATTCAAATTAAACCACAATGAGATACACTTATCACACCTAACAGTTTGATAAAAATTAAAGGTAAAAGAAAGCAAGCATCAGCAAGGATTTGGGGTAAACGGTAATTCTCATTCATTACTGTTGGGAGTAAAATTGGTTCAAACACTTTCAAAAACAATTAGGAATTGCCTAATTGTAATTAGTAAAGTTGATCATACAATCACCATTCAACCTAGCAATTCCACTCCAAGATATGAACCCAAGAGAACTGTTACACATGTGGAGCAGGATATATGTACAATACTGTTTTCAGCAACATTGTTCATAACAGAAGAAAACTGAAACGATTGGACTGTCCCATCAAATACAGAATGGACAAATATACTGTAATATATCCACTCAATGGAGTACAAAAAAGCAATGAAAAGACATGAACTAGCTATAAACTTCAAATAGATGAATCACAAAAACAAAATTTTGTGTGAAAAACCAAGTTGGAACAATAAAAGTAGTATATTTCTATTTACATAAAGTTGACAAACAGGCAAAATTAAACAACATATTGTTAAGGGATATATACATAGGTAGTAAAATTATCAAGAAAATGTTTAACACTAAATCCAGGAAAGTGGTTTGTTTACCTATGAGGGTGAGGGAGGGGGATGCAATTGGAAAGGGATATTGTGGGTCTTCGAAGGTACTGGTAAAGTTTTATTTCTTAAGCTGAAGGTGAAAAAAAGAAAGGGAAATAAGTAAATATAGAGATAATATAAGGGAAAACTTGTAAGAAAAATAATATTGTTACAAAAAGAATATGCCTTAAAAATGAATATTGAATCTGAATCCTGTAATATCTTGGTCAGTTTCTCTTCAAGCAATCTCAAACAATTAAAAAAAAAATTTCCTTCTATTTCTCCACTGGTATTGGGTTTGGAAAATGTTAAGATGCTCATGTATAACATCTCCTCTTTGGGAAAATAAAAAACAACATTATCTTCAGAGACAGGTTAATGGTTTAGTTTAGGATTTTGTTAAGAGGAATGGCATGAGACACCATTATGCTAAAAAAAAGAAGAACTGAATTAATTATATTACTACATGACTTAGGACAAAAACGTTTCTCAGCTAGGAGCTGGAAGAAAGAAGAGCAAATAACTTATGCTTTTAAAAAAATGAATAAATTCATGTGAACTCTTTGAATGTTATATTATTTAAAAAGTATTTTTAAAGACTTGATTATCCCTCCAAAAGTAAATCAAGTTATTATTTAAAAAAAGTACTTTTAGTGTTTTGAAAATTCCCAAAATATTTTCAGAATCATGTTAAAGTTACTCACATGAAATAAGCACATATCTCTGATTTCAGAATGTAAACACTGGGTCAAGAATAATAAATACATGTAATATTCCTAAGTATTTCTGCTGTCTCAAGTAATGTTTTTCCCTTGGCCTTGTGGTATTATCAAAGGGTGACAGGAATGTCAACCTTCTTTTGGGATTGGTTTAAATGGACAGATGTGAGAAATATATTAGCGATTCTTATGAGCTAACCGAAGAAAATTTCAGATTTTCTTCTGTATTTTGCTTTTCTAAAACTGGTTTCATTTCTACTTGGTATATTTAAAGTATTTAACTCTTTTATGTTTAAATAAATACACACAAATTTTTCAAATTTGTTTTATGTTCTCTTGAAAGATGACTGTATTAGAGAGATATAAACACTATGGTTATAAATGAACTCTATGAAGTTATAAAATATCTATTTCAATTTATTTAATTTTCTACCTTACTTCAGTGAAATAAAAATGTCTGTTACAGTGTTTGAAGACCATTCAATGAGTACAGTATGTCTTAAAAAATCACATAATGAAAAAATTCACATTAAAAAAAGTTCACATTGCCTTCTGGAAAGCATTCAGTATTTCACTATTGAAATTGGAGTCTGCTAAATTCAAACTCAAGTTTCTTTCTATTAATTATCTTGGGCCTTGGGCAAAAAATTCTTTAACTTTCACACTTCCTTGAGTGCTCTAATCAAAGAGCAAACCCCATCCCTAGACTCTCCTCCTCCCATCCCCACAGGACAAATTAGCAAGTTTAGGAAAAAGGAGGAAACCAATGTAATCAATTAAATGTTAAATAGTTCCAGGACTCAGTGCCTGAGCTGTACAATGTTGACCAATGACCTGAATAAATTTGGGCACATACTTTTGCATCCCAAAGCTATCTGGATAAACGGAGGCTCATAACCTTCACATTACCCCCATCATGACACATCATCCTATCACTGAATTACAGAAGACAAACACTGACCTAGTTTAGAAGTGCAGATGAAAAGAAAATGAAAACAGGATACATGACAACGGCAAGGAAACCATGGTAACTAGAAGAGAGAACTGTTTTGCTTACTTTATTTTGGTCAGAATAATCAGCAAGCTGAGCCTTCAGCTCTGTAATCTCGGCCTCTAACAGACGGATCACTTCTTCATAATCCATTTCCATTCCGTGTGCCTGTCTCTGTGCAGCTTCGGCAAGATGAAGCCGACTTCGCAGGGCTCTTGTTTCTTCGACCACAGCTTTGGCTTCCTAAAAATTTCAAAAAATAATGTCATTGAAAAAAAAAAACATGTAAAAACAATTCAGTGGTTTAAACAAAATATTTTCCTCCTTCCTGGAAGTTCTAATTCTAAAAGTGAATCAATTATACATATGTTTCTCACATCTCAATTTGAAAATTAATATTCACATTATTTTATTGTACAGAGTAGCTGCCTGACCTTACTTTTCCTTTCTTGATTTCTTAGAAAACTTTCAGTATGGAATCTCCAACTTCACACATCTAGCATAGAATTTTGAAAATAAGAGAAACAAAGGAGAATTGAAAGTGGAAAATAGAAGATTAAGAATTAGCTGAAAAGATAAAAAGAGTAGGCTTCTACAAAAGTCAAGCAGGTGGTAGGCTCATGTTCTAGGAAGGCTCTTGCAGCTTCATCAGATACTGCTGAGAGATTTATAGTGTTGAGGGCTTCTCCGTGGTCCAAGTGCCAGGAGCCAAAGCTTATTCCTAGACATCAGTCTAACTGCTACTTCTCCATTTTGATTTAAGCCAAAAGGTAGAATTCAGTAGCAAAATATACAGCTATTTCTATGGGATGCAATGTTCACAATACATTTATTAACCACATGTTACATCTCAGGTAATTCATGCGTCTTCTCCCATTTAACATTTAGAACAACACTGAGGGAAAGGCATTATTAAAAACCATTTTATACATAATCAAACAGAGGCTCGGAGAGGTTACATATCCTATCCAAGGACACATACTAGTGCCAGAATTTAAACCCAGGTTTACCTGACTCCAACATTAATGTTCTTTTCACCATTTTATTCCACCGCTAGATGACAAACAAACACAAAAACAAAACAAAACTATATAATAGCTACATTCTCCACCTTAGGAAGAGGACGGTGTGGGCAAAACCACTTGCTCTCTCAAAAATGTGTGGTGTTGGGTCAATAACAGTCCCCCAGGACACCAATATAATTTAATATGGCACTTGTTATAATGTAAACCGCTTCTTTTTCTTCACTTGATGCAGAAATCTCTTTTCTCTGCAATGGAACTTTCTGCTACAATTGCCATGGCTAATATTCAACTGTGGCTATTTTAATTTTCTGGGAGCTATTATAGGATACTTGCTTTAGTTTGAGCCTAAGGGACGGTTAGAAGTATTTTTACTATAGGACATATATATATATATTTTTTTTGCGGTACGCGGGCCTCTCACTGTTGTGGCCTCTCCCGTTGCGGAGCACAGCCTCCGGATGCGCAGGCTCTGCGGCCATGGCTCACGGGCCTAGCTGCTCCGCGGCATGTGGGATCTTCCCGGACCGGGGCACGAACCCGTGTCCCCTGCATTGGCAGGCGGACTCTCAACCACTGCGCCACCAGGGAAGCCCTAGGACATATTTTTAAGGGTCAATTTTTCATTCATACATTCAATAACTATTAAGTACTTATTATGTGCCAGTTTCTGTTTCAGGTACTGAGGACAGAGCACCTAACAAAATAGACAAAAAGTCCTCCTTTTGTCCCCCAGAATTTACAATCTATTGAAAGTTTGGGAAGATAGACAGCAAATTAGGGATAATCAATGACGATCTCATTGAGAAGACATTTAATTAGAGAACTGCAGGAAGGATGGAGCCATGAAAGTTTTCCAAGGAGGAACTTTCTGGGCAGAGAGAACAATTTGTACATAGGTCCTGAGACAGGATTGTGCCTTGCATCTTCAGAGAACAGCAAGGAAGCCAGCGTGGCAGAAGTAGACAGTAGTAGGGGACAGGAAGAAGGGAATAGTAGGAAATGAGGGCAAAGTGGTCACAGGTTTGGGCAGGGATGGTGTTGGCGTGGAGTTGCAGATCTCGAGAGGCTTTGGAGGCCACTGAGAGGACTTTAGTTTTACTCAGGGTGAGAGGGGAAGTGACTGGAGAGTTCTGAGCAGAGAAGTGGTATGATCTAACTTAAATTTTATGTGGGTTACTTTCACTGCTGTGTTGAGAGCAGACAACTCATCACAGGAGTAGGCAAGGGTGTAATAGGGAGAAGAGGAATGGGATAGGCAAGCTACAGTTACTTTAGCTTAGACAGGGTGACAGTGGTGGAGATGGTGTGAAGTGGTGAGATTCTAAATGTAGTCGGAGGGCTTCCCTGGTGGCACAGTGGTTAAGAATCCTCCTGCCAATGCAGGGGACTTGGGTTTGAGCTCTGGTCCGGGAAAATCCCACATGCCGCGGAACAGCTAAGCCCAGGCGCCACAACTACAAGCCTGTGCTCTAGAGCCCGCAAGCCACAACTACTGAGCCCACGTGCCACAACTACTGAAGCCCGCGTGCCTAGAGCCTGTGCTCTACCACAAGAGAAGCCACCGCAATGAGAAGCCCACGCACCACAACAAAGAGTAGCCCCTGCTCACCTCAACTAAAGAAAACCCGTGCACAGCAATGAAGACCCAATGCAGCCAAAACCACATAAATAAATAAATAAATTTATAAAAATAAAAGAAATAAATGTAGTTTGAAAATAGAGCTAACAGGAGAGTTCTTCATCATTAACAACTTTTACTTAGCACTTACTGCATCCAGACAATCATGTTAAGTGATAAAAAATACAAAGCGGGTAAAAGACACTTTCCCTTTTTTGGCTCAGCTTAGAACAGAAGGTATGACTTAGATAAGTGGAGGAAGAGAGTAGGACATGTTAGACAAATGAACAGTGTGAACAAATGAAGAGGGAAAATTAGGAATCTGAATGCGGTACATTCGAGAAATGACTAATTTTGAAATAGATCAACTTTGACTGGAGTAGATGCTTCCTCTAGGGGCACAATGGATAAAAAAAGATTGGGGAGAGGGAGGGAAAGGGCTGCGCTCTGGTAGAAATGGCGTGATAGGCAAAGGTGCTTGGATCTGGGGAAGGCTTGAAACCTTCTGAGCAGAAATTGATATGAGAACACAGTGGTTTAGAAAGCTAGATCTGGCAGCAGCTGCAGGATGGAGACATGGCCAACCAACTGCCTATTGTACCCTTGACTCAAATAACTTTGCTTCCTTATTTTTAAAAGTAATTGTCTTGTAATAAAAGGTACTTTTAGAAAGAAATATCTAAGGAAATAAAAGGACATTTACCTAACTACCACATCAGTCAGTTCAGCCCAGGTGATCAAGGGTCACCAGTGTCAGCGCAGGATCAACTTCACATTAGACTGTACATACAGGAGGTAATGGCTTAGTATGTGTTGACAGAGCTCTAGATGTTTTACATGGATCAACTCAGATAATCCACCTAATGCTGTGAGAGGTATGTCTATTATTATCCTCATTTAATAGATAGGAAACTGAAACGTTAGGGAGCTTGCTCAGAATTGCAAACTTAGTAAGTGGCTGAGCTGGGATTTGAACCCAGGCAGTATAGTTACAAAGTTCGAGCTCTTGGCTACCAACTACAGAAAATGTTAAAAAACCAAATCACTTGTAGATGACAATATCATCAGTGTCCAGCCCTGCATGAGCTTTTAGGATGTGGTCATTACAATAGACTCAAACACATTCGAGGCTGCTACACTGTTGCCCATTTTCCATTCACTCAGGCTAGGAAAAAAAATATTGCTACTGAAGAGAAAGGGAGGGACAGAGACTTCTCCATAGCTGCAATAAAGAATAACTAATTTGGTGATTTGTCTCCTTCATACTCGCTTCATGCAGTTTTTATTCCTCTATAAAAACAGCACTTTTATTTTTGTTCAAAGAATACTAGTTAATTAAAAGAAGAATCTGGATGGAATTTATATAGCCATTATAGTGCACTGATGGCAATATGGTGTGAAAGGCAGTTGGGTGGTAAAAGATGCAGAGGTTTTGATGCTGAATAAATTCATGCTATTTCTTTAGTAAATGTATAATTGTCAGGTTGGTAAATGTGACCCCTTAGCAAAGTTCTAGCCCAATTCCCACCGAACGGCTGTTTAAAAGATTAGTGCATTGAAATGACTACTCTTAGGGGAAGCAGTAAAGAGAAGATAGCAGCAGTGTACCGTATTTAGCAATACAGGATCACATAATCCATTTTTTCTTTTCCTCCTGGGCTGTCTTCTAATAACTGTAAAGCCTCCTATGTCAGTAACAATTGAGCCAGAATTTTCCCAGTACCTTACCATGAGCCTGAAATCCCATCAGGGTAAATGCGGGAGCCAGTTCACTGATTTACTTTGTATTAGGTACAGATTAATTCATTTTAGAAAGTTAGAAAATAAGAGAAACTAAGATGTAATGGTAAATAGAAAAATCAACATAAGCATTATGCTTTTTAATACTAAGCAGTACAAACAAATGCACTAGAAGGGAATCATGAATTATGAAGGCAGATCTCTGACTTAACTTTCTTTCAGTGACACTGAGGAAATGCCTTCAACTCACACTGTCTTATTGTAAAATCAGGATTTTCCACCTCACAATTTCACAATGAACCTTCAGGGAAGATCAGACCACATTCTTCTTTGAAAATATAGTTCAAACAAATGAAAATCTTTGTAGGCTACAAATACTTTGAAGTTAGCTATGTGATTGTGTTGAAACATAGGGCAGTATAAACTCAAAGGGGAGCATAAGCTCAAACAAAAGACAATATATTATCTGTTTTTCCACATATAGCACTTTTTCCCCCTTAAGGCATTAACATGATATTGAATTAAAAATACGGGCGTTTGATGAGATATACCTCAGAATCTTAGATATGTGATTTTTTTCATTTTCTGGCTCTGTAATTCTCCAAGACTCTGTTCATTTGTACAATGGTAAATAACAACACCTACTTTATAAGATCAAAACAACTGTCACAATAGGGTTAAAGAAACCACTACAGTTCTTGGTACAGTTTTTTTCCTGTTCATCTTTACTGCTTTTGAAATATATTCATAATCACCAATGTGATTAGAGGGCTAGACTACATCAAATGATTGAAGGCTTTCTTGAGGCACTGAAATAGTTGTTCGGAAATATAATGTGCACATGTCTTTTTTAATGTTAG